CATATACATATATATATATATATATATATATATATATATATATACAGCTTCATTAAATATGTTTTCATCTGTCGTTAAAAATAGTCCCACAGATTTAAACAAAACTTTGGTCACACACCACAAATGATATCTGACATTATTTGAGTTTGAGTCATTTCAACACATCATTGAAGCCACCAAGCTAAAAGAAAAGTCAAAATCCAAAATGATATTTAATGCACATAAATTTATTTCAGAATTGTTTTTTATAAAATTTATTTAAAAATGTACAGTCATTTGATGTATAAAAGTTTTGTTAATTCAGTTAATTTTATTTCCTCTCAATCTGAACATATTTGCTATGAAAAGAATGTTCCATTGAAAATAATTCATATTTATGGAACGACCACCTGTAAAAAATAAAAAATAAAATGTTTGCATATTTTTAACAAAAATTGTATTTACAACATGTTATCTCATGGCATGTGTTTATAATAATGCACAAAAGGAAAAGACACTCCATGTCAATAATAACTAGTTCAATTGGAGCAAAGACCAAAGTATATTGGTGTCATCGTGAAACAACTTTAGTTTCAAAATGTACAAAGTATTTTATGCAAAGATGTTTGTACTGTTACATTGCCCCCAGTTTTACATTACATTAGTCTTTACATATCATTCTATGGTTATTTGTTGACACAAATAGCAGCAGCAGTAGCAGCTAGCTGTAAACTTTCTAGAGACACATGGGAAACTGGCTCTTAGGACACGGAACTTTCTGATAGGGAAGCAACCTGAGCTTGTGCCTGAGATACTGACTATATAGTGAAGCTCACCTCCATGCATGGCATGGGTTCTGGAACCAGTCTACCTGAGAGGGGCCGGTCTTTCGTTTTGCTCTGGAAATACCCATGGTGATAGGCCCAAGGCTGGTGTGGGTCTACATATAGCTGCATTACACTACCAATGTAGAGGTGGCTGCCAAGCTTTGGGAACAGGGTACCTTGATGCTTCTCAAGGCAGCCATTTTCCATAATATTGCATGGCCATTGGGGACAGTGCTACTGGATTGGCAGATTGGGATCATGGTTCCCCATTTCATAAATTGGGACAGGAAGGTGTGTTTAAAAACAGGGGGATCACACTCCTCAGTCTCCCAGACAAGCTCGATTCAGTGGTATTGGAGAAGAGTGTCTAGTCCTTTGTGCATATGGGATTGGGGATCTGATGGTGCAAACTTTTCAGTCTCTATACAAACCGTGTGAGAGTCTGATTCGTATTGCTGGCAGTAACAAAGGCACCTTCGGGGTAAGAGTCTAAATCTGCCATGGCTGCCAATTATCAATTCTGTTCATAACTTTTATGGACAGAATGTCTTGGTGCATCCAGGGGCAGAGGGAGTCTGGTTCAGTGATCTGAGGATTCCAAGTCTACAATTTCCTAATCATGTGGTCCTGTGGAATCATCATGCCGTGATATCCTGCTCTCACAGGAGCAGATTGCAGCTGAGTGTGAAGCAGCTGGGATGTGGATCAGCACTTCATAATTTGAGTCTGTGGGTTTTAGTTGAAAAAGTGTTGACTGCCCTCTCCAGGTTAGGAGTGAGGTGCTTGTTCGTGAGTGAGGGAAGAAGGGAGCATGAGATGGACAGACGGGTCGGTGCGGCATTCATAGTATTGGTGCCAATCCATAGTGGTGAAGAGGGAGCTAAGCTGCAAGGTGAAGCTCTCTGTTCCCAACCTTACCTATGGTCACTGAAAGAACGACATTGCAGTTACAGGTGGTCAAAATGAGTTTTCTCCACAGGGTAGCTGGAATCTCCCTTAGAAAAAGGGGTGAGAAGTTCAGTTAGCCAGGAGAGACTTGACATAGACCTTTATATCGAGAGGAGTCCGTTGAGTCAGTTCAGGCATCTGGTAAGGATGCCACTCAGCTGCCTCTCCAGGGAGGTGTTTCAGACATGTTCAACAAATGGGTAAACCCAGGACACGCTATAGAGGCTATGTCTCTTGGCTGGCCTGAGAACACATTGGAACCCTCCCAGAAGAGCTGGAAGAGGTGGAGCTGGAAGAGGTGGAAAGAGATTTCTGGACCTCTATGTTGAAACCCTCATAACCCAACTCCAAAACAAGCAGAAGATAATGGATGGATGTACAGATGGATGGACAGATGGATGGATGGATGGATGGATGGATGGATGGATGGATGGATGGATGGATGGATGGATGGATGGATGGACGGATGGATGGACAGACGGCTGGATGGACAGATGGATGGGCAGATGGATGGAGAGATGGACAGATGGATGGACAGACAGACAGACGGATGTATGTATGTATGGATGGATGGATGGATCGACAGATGGACAGATGGATGGATGGATCGACAGATGGACAGGATGGATGGATGGATGGATGGATGGATGGATGGATGGATGATGGATGATGGATGGACGCATGGATGGACACATGGACTGATGGACGGATGGACAGATGGATGGATGGATGGATGGATGGATGGATGGATGGATGGATGGACGGATGGATGGACAGACGGCTGGATGGACAGATGGATGGGCAGATGGATGGAGAGATGGACAGATGGATGGACAGACAGACAGACGGATGTATGTATGTATGGATGGATGGATGGATCGACAGATGGACAGATGGATGGATGGATCGACAGATGGACAGGATGGATGGATGGATGGATGGATGGATGGATGGATGGATGATGGATGATGGATGGACGCATGGATGGACACATGGACTGATGGACGGATGGACAGATGGATGGATGGATGGATGGATGGATGGATGGATGGATGGATGGATGGACGGACGGACGAACGGACAGACGGTTATATGTATGTATGCATGTATGTATGGATATATGTATGTATGCATGTATGTATGGATGTATGGATGGACGCATGGATGGATGGACAGACGGATGGATGGATGGACAGACGGACAGAAGGATGTATGTATGGATGGATGGATGTATGGATGCATGTATGGATGGACAGACGGATGGGTGGATGGCTGGATGGATGGATGGACGCATGGATGGATGGACAGACGGATGGATGGATGGCTGGACAGAAGGATGTATTTATGGATGTATGTAAAATGGTAAATGGTAAATGGAGCTTACTTCTATAGCGCCTTCCAGCCCCCTATGAGGGGCCCCAAGGCGCTTTACAGTACCAGCCATCCACCCATTCACACGCACATTCATACACCGGTGGCGGTAGGCTGCCATGCAAGGCGCCATCCAGTCCCACCGGGAGCAACTCGGGGTTAAGTGTCTTGCCCAGGGACACAACGGCACATGGTGTGGGAAGTCGGGATTCGAACCTCCAACCTTCCGATCAGAGGTCGGCTGCCACTACCACTGCACCACGGCCGCCCACATGTATGTATGGATGCATGGATGGATGGACAGACGGATGGGTGGATGGCTGAATGGATGGATGGATGGATGCATGCATGTATGGATGGACAGACGGATGGGTGGATGGGTGGATGGATGGACAGATGGACGAATGGATAGATGGGTGGATGTCAATATAAAGGTTTCTAAAACTTTTTAAAAGTTTTTTTAATATAACATTATCATGAAATGTGATAAAAGTTTTTAAATTCTAGATTTCTTCATGGCAGCAGTCTACTTCCTGCCCACACTAGACCTTCACTAGTCAATTCAGTCATTATTCAACTACTTCTTTAAGCTGTGGTTGTTCAAAGAGCTGTCTACAACAGGTAATATAATAACTGTCTATCTGCTTTCAACAGAACCTCTCTTCAAGATGTCAAACCTACAACCATTTTAAAACAGACAGCAGAGGATGATCCCCTCTTCTAATTATAGTGGAGATTTTGGCATCTCGAGGCGAGTTGGCAGCGAGACTAGATATTTTCAGACCACAGATGGTGAAAAGAACAGTCTTTGCTCATATTCACACCACTGACAGTACAAAAAGAAGGTGTGAGGTTTAATTTTAAACAAAATAAACAATATAAATAAGAAATTGTGTTGTTTTTAATGCTTTCATGATACAAAAATATATGTGAATTAAAAAAAAACTGAATTAATATTTTGACAATGCACTAAATCTAAAACTTTTGTTTCATTTACCAAAATTCTTGCTTGAAACCAAATGAAAAATCAGAGATTTGACAAATCTGCTTAGTGAAGTGGGAAGTCACACGACGGTGGTGCTGTTGAGTGCCGCTTCCTCTCTGAGGGGCCAGTGGGGAAGATGTACATGGTGTTGTTGTTGCCACTCTGAAACCCAGTCACTTTGGAAAGGTGCATTTGGACTCTACTGGGAGAAGGAGGGCGGCTGGCGAAAGTGTCGGGGCTGGACATCTGACGCTGCACAGAGAGGAACAGTTTGTAGGTAAAGGCCTAGCATTCATATATTAAAAATTTAGAGTCCAAGTCAAAACAAGAATACTGATTCTAAACTTTATTTTTATCTGCAACAGGTAAGAGTTCCACTGTTCGGATTCTTTCCTCAAATCCCCACTTCAAAGTATCTGAACTATGACTTTAAGTAGAGTTTTTAAAGTTATTCCAGTTGTTGCTGGTGTAAAAACCCACCTGGTACCGTGAAGACAGGTGTTCTTTAAAAGCCGTCGGGGTGTTTTTGGTTGCCTTGGATGACCTCTTGGGTGAAAGAGACGATGGTGATGGTTGGATGGGATGAACAGAGGATGCTTTCATCCTATAATCTGTGGAGGAGCACCTGCTGACCTGCTGGTCAACATGATATAGATTTGTAGGGTGCTCTGAAGCTAACGCTGAAAAATAAAAACACATATTTCTGAATAACAAATTATCACAAATTGTTCACATAAATGTTACTGGTTTCACCTGCTGAGCCCTTCTTACCTTCGATCCTTGACTTGTCTCTTTGATTTGCAATACAACAACCGGCCATTTCCTGCAATGTAAATTGATTAGAAATTAGAATTAATTTGAATAATTAGAAATTATTATTTCTAATTATTAAATTAGAAAATATACTCATAAGAAATTAGAATCTAATTTTAATTGGAATTAAATTAGAAGACAGGGTACAGGAGAGCCCTCATGCCCTGAAGGGACACATGCAGCTGGATATGTCATGGGTTCCTGGGTGTTTGGAAGATGAAGTGCCTGTCTGTGCTGTCTGTTGACGTAGAAGACGCATACATAATTGGATTTATGATAACAGGGTTTCTGCTTTTTGGAAACGACGGATATCTGGGTTATCGGCTAATTAGGAAGACGTCGCCAGCAGTTTTGGCAGTGGTGAAGCTGCCGACCTTATGTGAAGGATTACACCGTGCTTTGAGCTCTCAGACTAATATGCTTTGTGAGCTGAACCATAAGTTGGACGCAATTTCTGAGAATCGTGGGCCACTTGCAGCTCCTAGGACTCGCCAGCATGAAGGAATCGACCTTGGAAAAAGCTAAGCATGGACCGGCAGAATGTCCACGGATCTGGCTGTTTGGATTCGACATTGAGTGTACGAGCAGAACTGAAGGCAGACATGTCAGTAGAGTCGGCCTGTCCAAAACAATTGTTGCTTATATGAATTTGGCCTCCCGGCTGGCCTTGGATAGGCCAACTTATCTCAAATTGATCCTGGAGGATACCTAAACTAAGAAGCTCTGCTCTGCTCCCCCCCCCCCCCCCCCCTCCAGAGGACATCTGAGGCCTTTTCAGAATTGTGCCGCTGATAAACGCTGTACCATCTTTATCAGAACTTTGGAACTTTCTGGCAGCGTCCACGGACAACACACCATCTTTGTTGTCATGCATAAATGTATTATGATGTCATTGTATGTTGCTGTTTTATGTTGCAAGGTCTTTTTTTTTTGCAACCTGTGCCCCGGCCAGGACATGATGTGAGACATGATTTTTTTTACTTCCTCCACCCTCCTGTTCTCTTTTCCACATCTACTCTGTATACAGTGGTGGGATGTAACTAAGTACAAATACTTTGTTACTGTACTTAAGTACAGTGTTTGAATACTTTCTCCACCACTGTCTGTATGTTTGTACGTAACAGGTCTCTCTTGTAAATGAGTCCCTGAGGCTCAATGAGAACTAACCTGTATAAATAAAGGTTGAATGAAAAAAAAAGTTTTTTACTGGTATTTGGATTATGGCTCAATATTATTGGTGTTTCACTGAAAAATAAAGCATTATTTACAAGCCTATGTAGAAGATCACACTTTTTAAGATGTGACATTATTATTTTACTGACTAATTAAAAGGTACTTACTAGCCTTATATCACAATTTAGTATGTTAAATATAATTATAATAATAATAATAGAGCTGAATGGAATTAACTTGTTAAACATTCTGCTAAAATACGTCTGTGTATCTTGTCCAAAAATGGACCTTAATTTATTTAAATTCCCCTTTGTTTATCTGAAGACTAAAAATGACACATCACTGTTTTGAATCAATTTATTCAGGTGAATAATCTCAAACTGTGATTCCATTCCTGAATTTTACAAACACAGTAACGCTTCCTGAAACGTCTTGTTTTCACTGTGTTCACTCTTTCCTGTAAAAACCCCCACGTGCAGCAGGAAGTGATGCTTGCAATATTTCCCCACCGCAGCAGTAAAAATCTGCGGTGTAGCAATAATGTAGGACTCGTTCTGCTGCAACAAAAGAAAAATCTCCCAGTCCACACTGTATGTCACTCAGTATGTGCCTTTGGTTAAAAAAAGAAGAAACTTTTCAGTAATTAAGTGTCACTGAGGTGAGGTTATAAAAAGGGATAGTCTGTTTATTTTTGAAGTGATGTTCGGGTACCTATCAGCCGTGACATCAGACATAAAACACGGAGTGTAGAAGAGGTCAAGTCTGGCCAGGCTGGGCTGACTGCTAACTAAATGAGGACATATTTTTAATAACCTTTGAGGTTTATAAAACTATTTGTTCTTAAAAACAACACACCGATTTGAAAGAATGTTGCATTAGCTAATATTAAACCGCCAAAGTTATGACACTCCTTAGTGACTTAACCACTTATGAGCCACTGAAAAGACTGACTTTATAAGACTGAGCTGAACGCAGCACCTCAGACTGAAGAAGTCTTTCGGATGAAAGACGAAACGTTTCTACTTTTTTTTGCTTTGTTTTGTTTTTTGAATGTCCAGAGGACCAGATTTAACTTTTTTTTAGATAAACCTCCAAACGTTTGAAAAGTACTATTTGTTTAGTTGCCCACTGTTTTTTCAACCAAATAACATCAATTTTACAATGTAAAAGCATGTGAATATAGGTACAAAGTACACTGCCTGGCCAAAAAATAAAGTTGCCACCAAAAAAATAGGTCACACACTAATATTTTGTTGGACCGCCTTTAGCTTTGATTACAGCAGCATTCACTGTGGCATTGTTTCAATAAGCTTCTGCAATGTCACAAGATCGATATCCATCCAGTGTTGCATTAATTTTAAAGTGAACTCAGCAAAAAGGCCTTTTCCTACTCCGCTCCTGTAACCTGGAACACCTTGCAACAAGTTCTGAAGCTGTCCACTTTGATCAATTTAAGGGATTTAAAACATTTGATAAGGTCATTAGAAAAATCTAAGCAAATATGTTCTTGATTTTAGCATCTTACCTTGTTTTATATGGAACTTTGATTTGATCGTTTTATCACACTACTTTTTTATTTTTAATTGCTTTTTATTGTTGTATATTGTTGTCTGTACTCTATATGTTGTCTAAAACAGGTCTTTCTTGAAAATGAGTCCACGTGACTCAACGAGACTAACCTGTATAAATAAAGGTTGAATGAATATCAGTAATATTCATAGTAATGTGTATTTTGTTCAGTTGAGAAAACTGAAACTAACTATACAAACAGTGTCTTTCAAATGTGTTGGCTAATAAAGTTCATTCACACCAATTTGTTTTTGAGAAAGAGTTGATTTATAAACCTGAAAAGCAACAATAAATTTAAAAAATAAGCCAGGCACTCATTTGGCTAGTCGTTAGCCATTAGCCCGGCCATCATTCGTTCTATATAACTGATGTAACAACTGATATAGTACTTACTACTATTAACTAACTGACAGAACACCACTTTTAAAATGACGAGGTCCTTTAAACTGTTACGCTCTTCATTAATGAAAACTACTTAGCTGTCTGAAGCTAATTACCCTCTTGTAGACAAGTTTTGATTCTTAATGAGGCAATGACAGTCTGACAAGATTAGCCAAACCTCACCTGTACTGGCCGTGGTCCTGTTGGAACATTATCCCAAACGGTTGGTGTCTGAACACCATAAATAACTAGAATGGGGGGGAAGACATTGGGAAACCTTAAAAGTCACGAATTAAACAATATATTGCTAAGTTATGAAGACTATTAAACTAATGGAACAAACCTTCAGTCTGAGTAATAGAAAGCCCTTCGAGCTGGTCTGTTATACTTTCTTCTTCATTCCGGTCCTTGAAAGAGGAAGAGAAACAGCGTGTCAGGCTGAGACAAAACTGGATAAAAATATGATGTATCACGTTAAAATTTTACAGCATGTCAGCTTGACTCAAAGAGAGTGTGAGATTTGGTTCTGACCAGTTTCTTCAGCACATCGTGGACAGCATCGTTAATCGAATGCTTGTGCATCTTGTACAGTTCTTCTGTCACAGTTGTGCACACTGTAAAAACACACACACACACACATGTGTTAGAGATTCAGTATCGAGCTAAAGCAACACAAACTGTTACAGTTACGAGTAGAAAATCGTGATCGGTTGTTTGAGTTAAACCAGAACTTCAAAGACTGTTAATAGCGCAATCTTTTCCAAATTGGCGTAACAACTGCAGTTACATCTTGACATCTAGCTTTTGTTAGCCGATCTGTTTTTCGACGCTAGTCTTGGGTCTTTTTCACGTTAGATAAAGATCCAGGTTTGGCATAACAATTATCCAGAACGTGGCTGTTCCTTGCAGGGTCTTGACAAGGTTTTCAGACACATATTGAGTGCGTTGTTAACTCTTCAATATGCATAATAGATCTACAGTGACGTTGGGCTTGCACAAACCTTTTTATTAGCGGGGTCGTGGCGGTTGGTTAGCATGGCAGCATAGTGTCAGGGTCCTGGTGGGTGTAGGTCCTTTCTAGGCACCCACACCCACACCTGGCTATGTTTAGCAATTCTTCACTCACTTTTTTGGAAACAAAGCAAGAAAACATGTTCTTATCCGGAAGGAAGGAAGAAAGAGGGGTGGATGTGGTTGAGGGTCTTACTTATAGAAAACCCTTTCACCTGCAACACCTCATGCTACCGTTTCCTCCTCCACAGCAAGGCTAAAACCTTCAGCATGGTCAGACATGGCTGACGGGGCTTCATATTTTCTGAATAGTCTCGGATCTCATGACAGTAATATCAAAAACAAAGATGTGTTCACACCGTGTGTTACGTATACCACTAAAATAGCATTTTAATATTGTAATATTTAAAAGCAGCATTCATTTCACAAAGCGTACACTATGAAGAGTCTGTGCCTGGCACGTTGGTATTTTGTGCACGCTGACAAAGTAGTTATACAAGCTGTTCTGGTAACTAGACACAGTGCGATTTCTCAGTTTTGTTGTGAAGTTTGGGATCAAGCTGGAGGAGTTTGAGAAGATGGTTCTTTTGTTGCTGCCACAGCAGAATGATGCTGCACTGTAATCAAACTGGTGTGTCTTTAAACTGGTGTGTCTTTATCCAATTAGCCTGGTTTGATGGTTTTGAAAGGTTTGTTTTTAATCGGGGTTGCCCAAACATTTTCCCTGAAAGGGTCAAATTTAAAATTTATCAGAAGGCTGCGGTGCCAAATGCAATAATACATGAAATGCAAATAATTCTTTAAAGTCCATTTATTTATTACAGTCATTCATCTGTCCATTCTGTGTAAAGAACATCACAGAACAGGCTGCTTTGGTGGTGGTGGGGGTGGTGGGGGTCCTCCCCCAGAGAATTTTGATTAAAGTAGATGTCATTTCCTGCATTCTGGTGTATTTTACAAAAATGTATTACAGTAGACTAACATGAAATAAAAGATGTAAACTCTGTTATTATTGAAATCTCTCTGACTGCAAAGCGTTCATAACGCAACACCGCTGCAGCTCTGCAGGTAAGAGGTGTTCCCTTCAGGACAAATCGAGGTTGCTGATTGGTCAGTTGCTAATGTGCCTGCTGGATTGATTGACAGGTGGTGGGACGTGCAAAAAAAAAAAATCGATTTTATTGGCCTGTTGGAGACTGTTGTCATTTATTCCATATTTATTCAATATTTTGGTGAATCTAATGTTTGAGAACTGGTTCCTTACACAATCCTAATGATTTATTTATTTTTCATGGGTGCTGAGTTTAAATTTATAGAGGCTCAAATCACCACTGAAACCAGTTCATATTTGCAATTTACTTTCAAACACTTTGTGATTTATATAAATGTGTTCTGTCAAAGATAAATGTTATTCAGTGGCAAGAAACAAAACTGCTGAGGGACGTTAGAAAGTCTGTCAAAATGAAATATAAAAATATAAATTAAAATTATTTAAAAAAAAAACATAAATTATCTACTCTACTGTGTAATCCATGTAGTTAAATTATGGTAGTCAGGCCGACTAACAATAAAGTTAATGGGTGGAGTCAATGAGTGTAAACACATTGATTCTTCAAAGGAAATTTTAATATAGTAATGAGGACAACTTTGGCTCGCGGGCCCCACTTTGGGCGCCCCTGTTTTTATTAAAGAATAATAATTTTTAAAGAAGTCTTTAGGATAAAAGACGAAATGTTTCAACAAAGAAGAATCCATCCAGAGGGCCTGACTCAACCTTGTTAGATTTATCTACCTGGATTATTGAGTATGCATCAAAATGTTGTTTTTAAATCCTCAGATTGTGACAAGGTCATGGCACAGATACCATACTTGTGGTGATCCATCACGCTAGCATGGAGTGAATTTGTGTCTCATATCTTAACTTGGTCTGAGGTGTGCACAGGTCACGGTGTGATCATGTGTGTACTGTGGTGATGTAGTCGTGGGAGCACGCTGCTAACATTGTGCACTGAGCATTGTGAGGGCACAAAAGAGCCTTTCATAAATGTAGAAATTAACAGGTGGAAACCTATTTGACAAGTGCTAAGAAATGGCAGAATCATGATTGTCTTCACACTGAAGGAGGTTTTTTTTTTTTTTTCAAATTTGTTGCAATCTAGATACACGTTCTAATTGGATGTGAAAGTTATGGAGAGCATATTCCTGTGTGAAGGGAGCCTAAGGTATAGTTAAAATAATGTATTTGAATCATCTGCTAAGGAAATATGTTTTCAGTGTCTGGTCTTATTTCAATTAGACCTTTCAGGTTAATTTTGAAAAAATAGTCTCAGCAAATATGTCAATGAAAACTAACAAATGAGATGTACAGAGCCTTTAAAAAATATTTACTGACTGTCGTAATTCAACTCAGAGAAAATGTTATTGAAACGTAAAAGTCAGGGATGAATACAAAAAGATTTCCAAGGCTCCAAATATCCCCAGGAGTTTAGTTAAATCCAACATCAAGAAATGGAATGAATATGGAACATGTGTAATTCTAGCAAGAGCAGGCTGTTCTCACAAACTGAGTGACTGTGCAAGAAGGAAAATAGTGAGAGAGACCACCAAGACACCTCAGACCCCTCTGAAGGAGTTACAAGCTTCAGCAGGTGAGATGGGAGTGACTGTGCATACACCTGTTGCCCATATTCTTCACCAGTTTAAAAGTTTTGGGAGAGTGGCAAAAAGAAAGACACTGTTGCCAAATGTCATTTAAAAGACTCTATGGTGAAGACCTTCTCAGCAGCTAGCCCTAGTCCAGGTTTAACTGTAAAAACATTTGACTAACAGAATAAATTAGAGGCAAAATAAAGCATTGACAGTTATTTTTCACTCAGCGTCTGAAACTATAAAAATCCCAAGCTATGAATAATGTTCATGCATCTGTCCATATTTTCAATTACGTAGATCAATAATTGATACCGTGTTTCTGTTCAACCATTCATCCAGTGAAAGCATGGTGATTTTGTTGTTTTTACTTTATGTTATGTACGGTACTTTTCTTACTAGATTGCCTCCTTCATATCTTCTCCTCATGCACATGTGCGTTTTCTCCGAGTACTTCAGTTTCTTCCCCCAGACCAAAAACATACATGTTAGTCTGACTGGTAACTCTAAATTGTCCCTAGGTGTGAATGAGAGAGTGAATTATTGTATAATTGTATTGTATAATCGTATATACCATATGTATTGTATTGTATGTAATGTATTGTACGTATTGTACTGTATTGTATTGTATTGTAAATGGACTGTACTTATATAGCACCTTTCTATCTTATTTCAAGATACTCAAAGCTCTTTACAACACAATCTGTGCCCTCATCTACCCATTCATACAGCACTCTACTAGATCTCTACAAACTAATTGAATAAATCATTCTAAAGAGATTAATCAATGCTTTATCACATTCATACACTGATGGGACACACATCAGAGGCAGTGAGGGGTTCATGGTCTTGCCCAGGGACACTTCAGCATGTGACTGTTGGCAGATTCGAACCCCCAACTCTCGCATTAGAGGACAACTGCTCCAACCACTCAGCCACAGCCGCCCCATATTGTATTTTATGTATTGTATTGTATATATTGTATTGTATGTATTGTATTTTATTGTATTGTATTATATTGTATTGTATGTAATGTATTGTATATATTGTAAAGTATTGTATGTATTATATTGTATTGTATTGTATTGTACTGTATTGTATGTATTGTATTGTATGTATTGTATTGTACTGTATTGTATGTATTGTATTGTATTGTATTTTATTTTATTGTATTGTATTGTATGTATTGTATTGTATGTATTGTATTGTATGTATTGTATGTATTGTATTGAATTGTATGTATTGTATGGTATTGAATGTATTGTATTGTATAATTGTATATTGTATAATAATACTGTATTGTATAATCTCAGTAATTCAGTTTCAGTGTTACTCACTGTGCAATAATCGGTCACACAACCTGTGTAGTTTATGTTAGTTATGTGCAATATATATCACGTGCAATTTAGCTTTTATTACTACCTTGAAATACTTATTCATACAAAATATCCTGCTTGCACTGTTATATTCTACCATGCTGTTTACTACATCTCTGTAGGACCTTGCAAATATATTTACTTTTTCACTTTTTGGTACTTTATCTTGTACCCTTATTGCATGCTTTAGTATTTCTTGTTTGTTTGTTCTTTGTTTTTAGCAATTCAAATCAGTTCTTCTTCCTGAACATTTCCATTGTACTGTTAACCTGCATATGACAAATAAACATAACTTGAACTTTAACTTGTTTGAGTGTGTCCCTGTGATGGACTGGAGACCTGTTCAGGATGATAGGCACCAGCTACCCATGAAAGAGAAAGGAAAGGCGAATAAAGAAAATAGATGGGTGGATTTTTCTTACTATGCGAGGTGGGCCGTTTGTCGGGCTTTGAGTCCCAACACTTCTGCATGAGTTCCATCAATGTTGCCAGTCCTGCACGCCCTGCAGCCTGATACCTGATCTCATCCAGAGATGGACGGTCTCCCTGTGGGATGCGAAACTTCACTATGCTGGACATTGCATCTGCAAGGAAAAAACATTAACAATAGTTAAAGTTATGTTAACGTCAGTTATAATCTCCATATTCCAAATGAACTAAAATAGCCAGGGCCACCTTAACCTGCATGTATGCTCATGGGCTAAACAGTCCTGTAGGCCCTCCCACAACCTTAACCTGGAGGAAGGAAACTTTTGAAGGGTATTTTTGGACAAACTTTGAGTTCTATGATTAAATTATATAAATTAATCTAGAACAGCTCATGTCATTGTCAATTTCCGTAGTAGGAAGGCATTTTTTACTTGTTGGAATTTTGAAATGGGAATCAGCATCAGTTCTTGCTGAATTCAAGATTATACTGCTAGGGGCCACGGTGGCTTCAGTGTCTTGTAATTCTGAAGCTGCAGGTTTGAGTCTCACTTGTGTCAGGAAAGGCAGCTGGCGTAAAATAAGTACCAAATTTTTCATGTAAGTTCGCTCAATGTGGCAACTCCTTCAGAAGGGAGCAGCTGAAGGAAAATCAGATGCGTTTAAGTCTGTCATCATCTCATTCGTTTGTTTAATGAACTATGACATATGTTCAGTAGGAGAGAGCTCCACACTGCAGACCAGTCACACATTGCATCATCGTTCATTCAAACAAGCCTCAATGATCGTTTTTTTTATCATTTGCACGTATAATTCAACAACTGTTTCCTTTTTATAACATAAACACAAACTGTTAGAGTTTAGTTTGAATATATAAATCACTTACTTGCATATGGTTGTTTCCCAGTGACAATGGACCACAGCAGGATCCCAAAACTGAAATAGAAATCAAAAGAGATACTCAGTACTATCTTGATTATTACAACTAAAAAGATTTTGTTGATCACAGTGACCAGCTCAGAGTTTCCTTTTACTTTCTGGCTAAAAAAGGAGGAAGTGGGTGCTTCAACAGTTGCAGTAAAAGGATTTGCAGTTTAATCCCCGACCAACAGCCATGAAACATGTCTTCCTTGTATATAAGAGGAAGTTTACTTTATTAAGTTAGTTTCATGAGTTTCCTGCTGAAATTGAGGCCATTTGTGAACTGGGTGTATAATTATAATGTATAATTGCCATGTTTTTAATTCAATTCTAATTACACTTTTTCAAATAAAATAAATAACTTTGCCTAAAGTGTCTCATTGGTTTTTACAGCGTCCTTAATTTTTGCATGATTATTAAAACTGGTTCGGGTTTTTCTACCTGTAGATGTCAGAGGCTCGAGTGGGACTGTAGGATATTTCAAAAGCCTCCGGGGGCATGTAGCTGAGAGTTCCTCCCTCCTCTTTGCTGTCTTTCTTAGACACCCGAGTGACGCTCTGGGAAATCCTGGCCAGGCCAAAATCTGTGAGCTAGAGAGAAGTAAAGCAACATTAGAAAGACAAGCAGGAGGCAGAGAGCTGATCAAAGTGTTCAAACTATTTTTTTTCTTTCATTCCCTTGTTGCAAAAAGAACAGCTGTACTTTTTCCTTGTGGCACATAACAGCTTATATCAGAAAAGTAAAAAAATACATGTATTTTGAATGCAGTAGTCCCTCACTACTTTGCGATTTGTTTTACGCAGACTCGCTCTATTGCGTTTTTTCAAAGTAAGATTGGACATGACACACAATTGGCTGATTGATGGATGAGCCGCACGATCGGCAGGGATTTTTAAATTTGAAATAAATTATTTTAAATGATTTAGCACCTGTGTGCAGCCCACAGCTGTGAGAGAAGCTTTCTCCTGCAGCTGATCAGCTGATCTGTGCAGAATGGAGAAGTGGGCGTGGCCATAGAGTGCAGCCAGAGGCGGAAAGCTGAAATCATGTTATGCTGTGCTCTTTTAGAGCGTTTAGAGTTTAGAAACATTGTCTAGAATATTGCAAGATTGTGGGAATGGTTTAAAGCACACACACACACACACTAAAATAAACTACTACTTACTACTTCTACTACTATACTTCAATGTTTTTTGTTTATCGCAGGTCTTCCAGATATGGATCCCCCGCGATAAACGAGGGACTACTGTAAAATGTTCTAGTTGCTAATATTATAGTAAATCTATTGTACCATAAGTATTAGGAGAAAAGAACATTTAAATAGCCTTTATTTAAATTATGATGTGGGCTTAAACACAAATTTTGAGTTTAACTTATTGACAACATTCAGGTGCTGTAACTTTGTGACACAGGTTAAATATTATCAATGTTAGTTTTAGTTGATGTGTTTTTTTTTTATCTAAAACCAGACAGTAGCAGATGGCAAAAGGTTTGACAGCTCAATCATCCAGGTAGATAAATAACAAAAAAAGGTTAAATCATGTCATCTGGCCAAGTTTTTTTGGGGAGAAACATTTCATCTTTCATCCAAAGGACTTCGTCTGAGGCCTGCCAACCCAGACCTGTATTATAAATAGCACCTCCTTATGTTTCAAGCCAGTCCTCTGTGAGATCCAAATGAATCCTGGAATCATTTTTTGTATATGTAAAGCTAGTTTCTTTGGATTCCACTGACTGAAGAAGCAGAGACAAGACTCTGAGGTTCTCAAACCAGACGAGACATCCTTCTGTCCACAACCACACCTTAAGATTCTATATATGAACTCCCCAAATGAGATCAGATGAGTGAGGTAGAAAGCTGTTCTACATTCTAGTTGTTCATGATCTAATGGAAGGATCTTTTTCCAGATGTTAGGAGATTATACATCACATGAGAGACGAGCGGCATCAGTCAGTCCTCATGAGATGGTGTCTAAAGTAAGACTTGCTAATAGGTGGTGTCAGTAATGAAGAAAAAACGTTTTGACATTTTTACTCTTTCTATCCCTGTCGTATTGTTGAGCTCAGAGAAGTGCTGCATATTGAGGATACTCATACAGTGGAGCTTGCAAAATTTTTTTTGTATGAAAGGACTTTTGTCAAAGAGGCTAAGTAGAAAAGATTGAACGAGCGAGGAGTTAGCGAGTACGGTAATACATTTCCAAGAACTGTGTAGATCTTTGAATTCATTTGAGGTTAACGGGTTTAGGTTTCTCCTGGTTTGACATGGGGAAAAAAAATCAAGATCTCCACTTTTGCCTTATCATTTTTGACCAAAAACTTCTAAATGTCATAAGTTGTGGAAATCTCCATCAAAGCATGAGGTTCACCTTGGCGTTGAGAGAGGTGTCCAGTAGCACATTGCTGGGCTTCAGGTCCAAGTGCAGCACAGCAGGAGAGAGACTGTGCAGGAAGTTCAAACCCAGAGCCACCTGGTGGATCAGTCTGAAGACCAGAGACAAGTGTGGAGGTTCCCCTAAAGATTGCTGATAAGAGGAAAAATATAGACATTTATAAAATAGACTGCATTCTCTTGGCAATGCATTGTCCATTTATTTCAATTTTAGCCACATCTTTCCTTATAATACATACTTTTTTTAACTCTAGTAGGTAAAAAGTACATTTTGAATTAACACTGCTGCTATTAACTTTTTTTTTAATAAAGATGCCAATTTTTCTATAACCTCACCCACTAAACCACTAAACATATGAAATAAAATCACGGCTTTTTTATAAAACGTACCAACGCAGTTTGTTGTGGAAATGAAAAGAAAAATTTATTAAAGTCATAAAAATGTACAATAAAAGTCTAATTTTGTTGCGCTGTCAAGATGGCTGTCAAATCATAAAAAGGGCTGGTCATCCTACTTGACATTTAGACAAGATGCTCCATGTTTTATTTTGAAAGGTTTGTTTTATGTAAGGTTAAAATCGTACATTTAATATACCATACTGTTTATTTGCTGGAGTTGAATTTACTTGTCTTTATGCTCACCAGTCAAAGATTACTGGCATGTCTGGTTGTGAACCAGGCCTGCGGTTTACCTGCAAAGAGGCCAGGGATCCTCTCTCCATGAACTCCATGACCAGCCCAAGCTGCACTGACGACGCAGAAGAAGGCGAGTGGCCTTTAAAAACCCCGTGGACGTGGATCACATAAGGGCTGCTTCCTTTACGCATCAAGTCGATTTCACGCAGCAACGCGGAGCTGTTTCTGTGAATAATGGTTTGTCTTCCTGGTGAGTTGTTCTCTGACTCATGTTTTTCATTTAAAGGACTGTTTGACCACTTACCCGTCATCGTAATGAAGAAGTTTGATTGCCACATCGCAGCACCACTGACAGTGTCGGGCTTTGTAAATCTGTCCAAACCCACCAGAACCAATCACCTCCCAGTCATTCAGAGAAGAGGCTACAATCTCCACAGGAGACAGACAGCTGAGCAGAGCCATAGTTCACTGGAGTAAAAAGCACAAACATCCTTAAGATGGAGATTTTAACACTTCTGTCACAGTTTTTACTCTAAAATGTCTGTTACATGTTCTCCAGTTATAACTATATACTGTCAGGATCTGTGTGGTTTGATTATTTTTTTTGTGTGTGATTTTTGTGGCTTTATTCCTTTCGTTTTTTTGTTCTGTTTTCTTTTGTTCCATCAGCCACTTTTCCCTCAATCTCTCCCTGTTTCTCTGCTTCTGCCCACTCTTACCTGTTACCAGCAGTGGTGTAGTCTACAGTTTTGTAGTGGGTATACTGTGCTTAGAAACCAAAGTACACTGGTTAGTACGATGTAATCATAAATTTATTTTGATTTTTAAGCATATTGAACATTTCTAAATTTCTCTGGTGCTTTTATTTGAATACATGAACAACAAACTTTGTACAACAGTTAACTTTGTATTAAAAACATGTTCTATAATTTATAAAACTGTATCAGAGCAAAGCGCTGCTTACCGATAGATTGTTATGGAAGTGTTTAAGTGCCGTTTAACGTATCAATGACATGTGCCTAAAGATATGTCATGTATCACTGGGCACTTTTAAGTGGGTATACTGACATTCTAAGGCTTTTCTAGTGGGTATACTCCGTATACTCGAGTATCACATAGACTACACCACTGGTTACCAGATGTTGTCCTGCCCAGGTGTCTTCACTCATTCATCAGCGCCCTGATGTTCATTCTGTTTCCACCTCACTTTGTTGGCTTTCATGCCATGTCCCATCATCCTGTAGCTTTACACCTCCCTGCGCCATTCCTCAGGTTTTTTAAGTTTTGCTCCCTTCTTCAGGGGTCGCCACAGAGAACTAACTAGCATGAAAACTTGGTGATTGTTTTTACACCGGATGCCCTTCCTGACACAACCACAGACCAGCGAGCTACCACAGCCCTCTGTGTGGAGCAGAGAGCTGCCATCTAGGGCACCTGGGGGAGAAGATGGTGGGGGTTAAGGGCCTTGCTCAAGGGTCCAGAGTGGGGCAAATGAGGGTGGAGGCAGGTGTGGGTGTTTAAACCCTTTCCACCCACATTTTGATGTTGTCGGTCCGGGGGATCGATCCGGCGAGCTTCCTATCACAGGCTCGCTTTCGCGAGCCTCTGCGCCACCACTCTGTCATAAGTTTTGTTTGTCAATGTGTGTGTGTTAGAAACTATGTAAAATTATAAAAATAATTTTAAAAAATTGTAATTTTTACAATATATATATACATATATATTTAAAACAAACAATCATCAAGCATTGTAAAACCGTGGGCCAATATATTAAAAAAAGAAAATTGGCCACTAGCTACTGGTTGCTATGTCATTTTATTTCCTTTTACTTGCAGTTAAACAATCACATTTGAATAACAAACAGGAAATCAACTAATATTATTTCAGCTCCTAAAGAGACAAGTAAATAGTTTTTAAGTGAGGTTGTGTCGAAAAGTTATGAACAATAAATGTCTTATCTGTCGAGCATGGAGCTCTTCGAACAGTCTCAGTTTGTGAAATTGTTCAATTTTGACACACCTGAGAAACTCGCTGCTCGTTTAAGCAGGATCGATATCGATAGTGGATTTCTGTCAGAACCCGGTAATTACCATGTGTTTGAGTTACCAGAGAGTTCTTGTCTCGCTCAGAGAGTGAACGAGGAGCTGATTTGATCCTTCTTGTGCAGCTGGGTGGCCTGAGGTCATCAGTGTCTGGCTGTGAGCCGGGAGCTGATAAGTTTATAAAAACAGTTCTCGCACACTGCTCGTGGCACATTCTCATGACTCGGCTCCATGCATGTAAAACTTCTATACGTGTGTAAGCTGTTGTGAAAGTCTGCCCTTGCTAGTTAAACCGACTAAAAATCTCCTCGTGTCCGAGTGGGACTTCTCGCAAGTAAAATGAATAGAGGATATTTTTTTAATCCAACAATAATACTCCCACCTCCATGTAAATGGCAGCATCATGATTTGTTCCAGTTTTGACATCACCTGGGTTCAGATGACTTTTGTTTTGTTAAAGTCTTTTCTTATAGTATTTTCTTGTAAAATGCACCTCACGAACTTTCAAGTAATGAATGTTATGCACCCTGTTCCTTCAGTTTATACAATTCTTCTCACTTCATGTCGAAAGTTGCTTCTGTGGTCAAGTTGGTCCATTTCAGGAAATACACAAAGGACATACGAATGCGAACAGCTTCTATCTATTAGTAAGATTAACACTTACTGAGCTGGATGAATGAAAATGACTTGCTATATGATCAATACTTCTTTTTTTCTAACAAACTGGAGTGAATATTTTAGGCTGTAACAGTTACATGTGCACAAATCACAGGAAATCACACTCTTGTTGTTGAGCATAGCACACAGCAGAGAGTTCACTAAAATGATGAGTTCGTTTGTTTTGGATGTAGTTCGGTTTTCAGCTATTATCTGTTTTATATTGTTTTATCCGTGGGGTAAAGACAAATAAATAACAGAATAAAGTCAGCCATCACCATGAGTTGAAACCATTTGAATACAAATCTCACTTTTACGAAACACTCGGAAGTTTAAAGGTGTTTTTTCTAGAACAAAGTGGGAAACTACTCACCCGTCAGGATCTGCTCTGGCCGTTCATAATTCAGCCGTAATGAGAAAGGTTAAAGGAGTGTAAAAACCCTCCGGCTCATTCACTGATGTTTTCTATACTCACATCTGGGGCTCTGAGTGAAAAGAGAAGTGAAATCATAGATAGAGCCGTCCCCTCCACACTTCTGCTTCTAGATTACTCAATACCAGGCCGGGGTTTTCTGTCGATTGAACTGCCTGATCCTGTTTATGTCCATGTGTTTGTGTCATGCTTTAAAAATAGATTTTTTTTAAACACATTTCCTTTTATTTAGAGGAGCTTTCATGTATTTTTAACAAAAGGTAGCTGAGTTCATTTTGTCTCTAGATAACCAAGTTCCTGATTCTTATGATGAAGGGTCCAACTGTTTTATGAGCAGGGAACAATTCTGATCAGATATGGAAGAATATCATGACTGAGTCCTCAGCAGCAGTCGCCACCTGATTCTTGGTGTTTTATTTATCGCCACCAAGTGGAGATAAATATTATGTACATCCATTTTCTGCTTTCTGTTCCGAGCCCCTCAAACCAGTAAACTTGGGTCCCTGGTATGGAGGATGGAATGTGACAAAATGAAATAATTAAATACATAATAATGAAATGTATCATTTAAATATTAAATTAATCAGTAAATGCACAATTAAATTATTTATTTCATGATTTATTTATTTATTAAATTTTGTCACATTCCACCCTCATGCGTCACCATGAGATTATGTTAGCTGTCAGTCTCACTCAGTGGGCGGGGCTAACGCAGGCCTCTGCTGCAGTGCTACAGGTCTGACTCTGCCTCAGAGCACTTCTTCCTTTAAATTCGCTGCTTCTTGTAAAAGCGCGTATTCTTTATATTCACGGGATGAAAAAAGGTTTCATCCAAATACACGTCAACACAATTGTTTGTTTGTTTGTTTTCTTTCGGCTGCTCCCTTCTTCAGGGGCCGCCACAGCGAACTAACTTGCACGAAAACTTGGCAATTGTTTTTACGCTAGATGCCCTTCCTGATGCAACTGCAGACCACCGAGCTACCAAAGCTCTCTGTGTGGAGCAGGGAGCTGCTATCTAGGACACCCAGGGGAGCAGACGGTGGGGGTTAAGTGCCTTGCTCAAGTGCCTAGAGTACGGCAAATGAGGGTGGATGCCGGTGTGGGTGCTTCACCTTTCCCACCCACATTTTGATGTTGACGGTACGGGGAGATGAACCAGCGATCTTTCGATCGCAGGCTCACCTTCTCTAACCTCTGCGCCACCACTCCTACGTAAACACAATTACCACTTCCTAAAGTTTCGGAATATATCTTCTTGCCTGTGGATCAATCCATGATCTGTGGTCGATCTGTCTTCGCTTGCTGTGAGGAGCAGCCAATCAGGCGTCAGGGTCTGTTCATGACCCGCCCACTGAGTTTGACGAGTGAGATTGACAATTAACATCATTTCATGGTGTTACTGGAGGACGGAAGGTGACAAATTTAAATAAATAAATGATAAAATAAATAACTTAAAAGGTACATTTCATTATTGAATGGTGGATTTAATAATTTAATTGTATATTTAATGATGTAATGATGAATTTCATAATTAAATGATACATTTAATTGTTGTGTTTGTATTATGTATTTATTTATTTAATTTTGTCACATTCCGTCGTCCATACCCCGGATCCCCCGGGGTCCGCGAGCTGGTGCTTGGGGGGTCCGCAAAAAACAAAAACAAACAACAACTATATATATATATATATATATATATATATATATATATATATAACTTAAAAAATATTAAAACAAGCACGTAGATGTTAACAACCCGTTAAAATACACCACAGTGCAGGAAATTACATCTACTTAATTCAAAAATTTCTGGGGGAGGACCCCCAGACCCCACCCCCGTCTGCTATTTGCATTACAGCATCAATCGGTTTACAAGCTAAGCCCTACTTGGTGTGATTACTGCTGTTCTGACTCTGTTGATTGACAATATATTTATTATATTCATTATGTGAATATGTATGTTTTAAAGAGGTTTTTGATGCTGTCAATTTTCTCAAGTTTATATTAAAAATTGTGTAAATTAATTGTGTCTTGAATGAAAAAGACCCCATGTTTAAAAGCATAAAAAAAATGTATTAACACTGTTAAAGAACAGGTCTTGAGTTTTTGTTACACAAATTGCATTAAAGAAATAGATTGAAGAAAATTATTTAATAAACATGAGGGTTATGAGGGGGTCCCTGAAACTTTTTTTCCACTGTAAGGGGTCCCTGAACCCAAACAGTTTGAGAACCTCTGCCTCAAACCACCTTCTCCTTGTATCAGGGCAAAAACTCTGAGATCTCAGTCCAGCTGTGAAATATTATCTTTTTAACAAGTTCTGCCAC